TATGAAATCCAGGGAGATCAAAATCCATAGAGTTGGCAACGAGATGATGAACAGTCCTCTAGGTCATGGCGAGAGAGGTTACGGGGCAATGGGGAACTGACGGGTACAACAATGAAGAAAATGTTCTAAAATTTGGTGAGGTGAGGATTGCACAATTATTTAATGTACTCAAACCACAGAATTGTGTGGCACGGGAATTATATGTCAATAAAACTGTTGAGCATACACACACCTGGCTTGAGGAGGGACCTGGGCCATGAAATCACACCCAACGCCTGACATCATGGCACGTCAACTGGAACCCATTCGCCAGTACAAAAGCAGCCCCCGCCATCAGAGGTTCAGAATGTTTTCCTGGGCTCCCTGCACATATGCCTGTGAGTAGTCAGCCCGTACACACACCCGGCCCTGCACTGCTATGTGCAGCCCTCACCCCTGGTGACTCGACGCCTCGGTGTTCAAGGCTGTCGTGGTGCCGACCTGCGCCTGTTAGTTCCCAAATAAAAGTTAGCTCTGACGTGGACGAAGCCCCTGGTGAGTCCCCTCTGCCCGTGGACCAGGGATGTGAACAGTCTTGCTAACGTGCAGTGTGCATTGGAAAGTGGATTGTTGCCAATGCAGTTAGGGTAAAATTCAGCATCCTATCCTTTGATCTCCCTGATAACCTATTTAAATTTGTTCTAATTTTTAGCATTTTCTGCTTTCTTTTCAATTGAGGGTTTTATCTGTTTTACTGTGTCACTGTTATAGGTTGTTTTTTTTTTAGTGTTTTCTGTATATGGAAATCCAGGATAGAGTAATCAGACTAATGCTCACTTGGGGATGTGGCAGCAGAGGTTGGGGGGGAAATGGGAAGCTAAGGATGAGTTCAAGAATGAAGAAAATGCTCTAACATTGATTGTGGTGGTGCTTGTAAAACTCTTCTTGATGTGACTGAACCATTGAATTGTATGACATACGAACTATATGCCAATAAAACGGTTTTGTTTTTGTTTTTAAAAAGCTAACTCTGGGAGGGAGGGGAAAAATGAGGACCTAATGTCGGGGGTTTAAATGGAGAGAAAATGTTTTGAGAAACGATGTACAAATGCGCTTTACACAACTGATGTGTGTATGGATTGGGATAACAGTTGTATGAGCCCCTAATAAAATGTTAAAAAAAAAAAAAAAAAAAGCTAACTCTGATTCACTTGGCTTTTTCGGACTCTCTTTTTCAGAATCCGACCTGTGCTCCTCAGAGCCAGTCCGGCTACTGGTCTGATGGGGGCTGAGTTGGGGGTGGAGGGGACACTCACTGCTGTTGGGTTCATTCAGACTCATGGTGACCTCATGGGTTTCTGAGAGTCAAGTGTCATGGGGGTTTTTCTGAGGCTGAACTCTAATGGAAACCAGGCACCAGAGACATCTTCCGTGGTTCAACAGGGTGACTTTGAACTGCCAATCCTGCGGCTTATAGCAGTCTTGTGCAAACCGTTGGTGCCACTCAGGGCTAACACATAGCTGTGCATAGTGCACAGAACTGGGGCTTGGAGAACACGTGTGGGAGAATCAGTTGCCCTCCAGGTGGGTCTCGCTCAGGGCGCCTTCAAGCGTCAGCGTGGAACTGAGCAGCACAGAGCTGGCTGGGATTGCTGCTTTTTCCAAAGTGGATCACTTCCCGGGGCCCTCCAAAGACCAGCAAGCAGGTGAACCGCCCAGGGACCCCTTATTTGTAACAAGTGATTAATTCTGGCCTGGGCACCGAGGAAAACCTTCCTGGGGTGCGATTTTGTATCGTTTCCCTCTTTTACAAGGAGAACACAATGCTATGTTACTTTCCCACGTTTTTTCTAATTAAAAAAAAAGGCAGTGAGAGACAAGAGAGGCGATCAAACCGTGACTCAAAAGTTAGTCTCGGCTGAACCACCCAGAGGAAAATGAATGCAGTGAAAAAATAAAGTTCTACATTGATAAGCCAGGCACACTCACAACCCAATACCTATAGCCATCCAGCTGCTTCCAAACCACAGGGATCCCATTGGAGGAACAGAACTGCTCGCCAGGGTTTCTGAGGCTGCAAATCTTTGAGAGCAGACAGCCGGATCTTCGTCCTACGGAGAGGGGCTGGCGGGTTCAAGTTGTCCTTGAGGTTAGTAGTCCAACAAAGCCCCATACACTAGCACAACTCCTTAAAAAAATTTTTTTAAATCTACCTCCAACTCAGTGACAGCCAGCAGGATGGGGTGGGGGTGGGGGGAGAGAGAGAGAGACCGGAAATGGAGCCCACTTCATATTCTGGGATATGGCTCCACCCACCACCTTTGTCCCCAGCAGAATCGCCTTTTGTTGCTGGAGTGTTTTGTGTGTTTGGTTGTTTTGTTTCCAGTATCTGCTCACAAATTCATGAGAGCCCTGGCCACAGGGAGTACAGAAGGTGTCCCGTTTGCTTTGAAGTTTTGGTTTCCTTTTTGAAATATGAAGAGAAGAATTAAGAAACTGGGATAGGCGCAAGGGCAGCCCGGAAAAGAGCTTTCCAGTCAGTGTCTGGGGAGCAAGCATTGCTCCCACAAAGGGTGGGGGTGGGGGGCAGCTCAGGCACAGGCACATTTTCCAGAATAGCCTGGCCTCCGCGGAGTCAGACGCAGTCCGAGCCCAGGAACCCCCACCGAGGCAGACGTCCTCGAAACCACATTTAGAAGCAGCCCTGGTCAAACCAGGCCCCGCGCTCATGAAACTGCCTCTGATGCTCAAGGCCCGCGGGCAGGTGACTGTCCTTACCCTCGGGACAGGACGTTCAGAGGCCGTTGGGACACAGCGGGCGCCAAGGCAAATGGAGCGCGGCAAGCCACACTGACGGCGACACCGGGCCTTTGCCTCGCCTGGCGGCGTTCGATGCTGGGCGGTCGGGACCCCACCAGGTTGGGGAGTCCTGGTGGCACGGTGGGGTTACAGGTGGGGCTGCTAATCGCGAGGTCAGCAGGTCGAAACTACTAGCCGCTCCGCAAGAGAAAGATGAGGTCTCTAAAACGTGCAGCCTCGGGGTCCGTTTTACCGTGTCCTACGTGCCGGCCCGGGTCCCTGTTCGGCCCAGTGTTCACAATCCAAGCCCCTTGGCGACCCCAGAGGGACCTTTGGCCCGAGATCTGAGCCCCCGTGTTCTCAAACGCGGGCTTCCCAGGACGCGTCGTGCGCGGAGGGCCGCCAGGGGCGCCCCGGAACGACCGGGCTCCAGAAGCGACCCTCGCCAGGAAGCGGACCGCAGTGGGGCCGCGCACCGGAGGCGCCGGCGCGGTGCGGCGGGCAGTTGGCGGGCAGGCCCCCCGGTGGGGCTCGCTGGCACCCCGGCTGGCCAGCGCCGCCGGCGTTGGCGTCCGAGCCTCCCTCCGCCTTGGATGAGGGACCGCGGCCCGGCTGGCCGTTCCCCGCGCCCCGACCGGGGCTCCGGTGCGCATCCCTGGCCCAGCGAGTAAGTGCACGGAGGGGAGCCTTCGGCCCGGTCCCCGGCGTGGACGCCACGAACAGGGCTGGACCCGGCACTCAAGGCTCCCGGCTGATTTCTTGCTAAGGAGCTGTTTCTGCGGAAGCCGCGCAGCGCGTTCACTCGGCGGGGACTTGCACCCCCGGACGCCCACAGACTTGGCCACAGTGTGCCCCTCGCTCTGGCCCTGGCCCTGGCCCTGGCTCCTCGGCCACCGCCGCAGTGCTCTGTGAGTGATCCACTGACCTGCCTCTCCGGGAGGCCCCAGCCCCCTCGAGCCATGTCGCCTGCAGCGTTGGGGGCCCCTGGTGATGCCAGGCACGCACCGCTGTGCCCGAGGACGGGCTGTTGGAATTCGCCGTGAGCGATGGACGGCAGGACGGAACACCAGAGCTGTGGACGGAAAATTATCCCGCCGTGGCGATATGTAGGCTGGGGCCCCCGGGGCTCCCCATGAGAAATGCGGTTCCTCCTCTGAGCCCCCATTCCACAGTCACATGAAAGAAGGAGCCCTTAGCTGGTAACCAAAAGGTTGGCCATTGGAACCTACCCAGGGCTCTGCAGGAAAAAAAAATGTAAAAACCTGGCAATCTGCTCCTGTAATGATGATCTCCATCAAAAACAAAACCCATTGTCGGTGTGTCCATTCTGACTCATAGCAGCCCTGTGTTGGAGTTTTCAAGGCTGTCAATCTGTCGGGGAGCATCTGGACGGTATCTTTCCCCCATGGAGTGGCTGGTGGGTTTGACCCATTGATGTGGATAACAGCCCACGCTTAACCCACAGTGCTCCCTCCCTCCCTCCCTCCTATCAAGTTGATGCTGACTCCTAGCAACTTTACAGGACAGAGTAGAACTGCCCCTCTGGGTGTCCAAGACTGTACTTCCCTACAGGAGTAGAAAGCCTTGTGTTTCTCCCTTGGAGCAGCCAGTGGTTTTGAACTGCTGGCCTTTCAGTTGTCAGCCCAACTTGTAACCACTATGCCACCAGGGCTACCATGTTGAAAGCCCCACAGGCCAGCTCTCCCCTATCACAGAGGGCCCTTATGAGTCAAAAGTCCATTCAAGGGTACCCATCAGCAGTATAAGTAGTTTGTGGATTGCCCTCAAGTATAGAATTCTGTCTCAAATCCTATCTGCTAAGACCCAAAGGGACAACTAGCCAGTCTATCAAGTACCTTGGTTTATGAGAATTCGCATGTTCGCTTGAGATACATCAGTGCTTCTGGCACACAGCCATGAATGAAGGTGCACAATATGTGCTGGTGCTGTGGGCACATTTGCTTAGCTGGTCGGCCACCATCAGATCCCGAGGAGTCTCAGGTGAGGGTCGTGATGGTTATGTTTTGGGGATGCCAGGCCAGGTCTAATTTCTAACATCTAATTTGCTTGGACCAGTGAGCTAACTAGTTCCTGTGTTTCACTACTAACCTCAAAGTTGACTATTTAGCTCACCTAGCAGCACCCCAGAGCAAAGTCGAACCTTCTTCCATAAAGATTATAGCCAGAAGAACCCTGTGGAGCAGCCCTGCTCTGTAACTCATGGAATTGCCATGCGTTGGAGTTAATAGCAATGGGTTTGGTTGTGTGTGTGTGTGTGTGTGTGTGTGTGTGTTTTGAGCAACTCAAGGAACCCTGGTGGCATAGCTGGAATATGGAGTTGGACTGCTAAACACAAAGTCAGCAGTTCGAACCCACCAGCCGCTCCTCAGAAGAAAGGTGGGGCTTTCTACTCCCAGAGAGATACGATCTCAGAAACTTGCAGGGGGAGTTGTGTAGGATTGCTGCGAGGTAGCATCCACTCCATGGCATTGAGTTTGGTTTTGGTTCTGGTTTGGTTGAGCAGCTCTGCCCGATGGGTGATCCTGGTAGTTGTGACCATTGCCCTAGGGCAGCGCTTCTCAACTTGGGGGTCGAACAACCCTTTCACAGGGGTCGCCTAAGACCATGGGAAAAACATATTTCCCATGGTCTTAGGAAGGGGACACCGCTCCTCTCTCCATCTTCAGGCAGGTCCGCCCACATGCAGGTCCGCCCACATACGAGTACCCTGCGTGAAGACTGTGACCCATGCTGTACCATGCTTTAAGGCAAAACTTCATTTATTTGCCATTAGAAATAAATATTTCACATTATATAATGACATCTTGTTTCTGATTCATCACTATGCTTTCATGATGTTCATTTTGTAGCACTGCAAATACATCCTGCCTATCAGATATTTACATGATTCCTAACAGTAGCAACATGACAGTGATGAAGTAGCAACGAAAATAATGTTATGGTTGGGGGTCATCACCACATGAGGAACTGTATGAAAGGGTCGCAGCATGAGGAAGGTTGAGAACCACTGCCCTAAGGGGGGGCATCACGGGATAAGATGTGGGATTCTGGGCACAACCCCAAAAGCCCGTGTGGGATGCCTGACCCAATGGCTGTTGAGAATCCCTGACGCCTCCTAGATCCACATCTATGTGTGTGAGGAGGGGCGTGGGGGTGGATGGCGTCTCTCCTGCCCTCCCCCAAATGATGTTTTGGAACTTCCTGGCTGGAATCGTCGACAAGGCGGTTCCACAGCGTTAGATGGGGAAATTCTAAAGTGAAGGCCCTGGACTCTGGGAGCCCCACCCAGGGTAGCAGGGCTCCAGGTGTGCACTCTGAAGGCTGGCACATTCAGGGTGGGGAGCCTCAGAGGTACCCGGTGTCAGCCGTGGGTGGTCCCCTTCTGCTTGCTTTTAGCCTCCAGGATGGACTTCCTGGTTCTCTTCTTCTTCTACCTGCTTCTGATGCTGACCGTTGTCCTTCTGTGGTGCGTCTGCTCGAGAATCCACTGCTTGAAAGGCCTGGTCGGGGAAGGAACACAGGTAACAGGGTCGCTCGGGACTCCCCAACTCTGAAAGTGCTCATGGGATCCTGAATGGACAAAATGGGGACACCAGGTTTTTTTACTTTCTTCCATGTTTGGCAGCTGTGGTGTGTTCTCTGTGTGTCTCTGTCTCCTGTTGAAAGGAATGCTTTGTGGTTACAGGATAACATTCTCAAGGGCGACTTTCCCCACCCCCCTCTGCATTTGATGCCCATAATGGGGTGTGAGCATTGTCTGCCTGAAGGGGCCTGATGGAGGGGCAAGGGGTGAGCAGAGTGTGGCGTCAGAAAGCTGAGCATCAGGCTGCCCACCCTCCTTTTCCCAGTGTTCAAAGTGGGGTGAGCAGTCCTCAGGAAGGGATTGATACACGGGTGACCCTGGGGGGGCAGTGTTACTGACCCATCGCCCCACTCCCCTTCTTCCCCTGAAGACTGACAGCGGCCAGTGTGAAAATAGAGTTGGCAGTTAAGTGTTGTTTTCCTGTTTGTTCCCTCTTGAATTTCTTCTCTGTTCACATACTGTCTTAAGCTAGGTCCTCTAGAGAGGCAAAACCAGTGATGAGAGAGGGTGGGGGAGAGAAATGTTTATATCAAGGAAATGGCTCACACAGCTGTGGAGATAGGCAAGTTTCAAGTTAATGGGTCGGATGGCAGGCTCTGGCTGCATAGATGAATGAGTTCAAGGTCAACAGCTAAGGTAGTAGGCTGCTAATGACTCCCAGGATCAGTAGGCAACATGGCAGACAGTTGGGTCAAGTCTGAAGAACCTGAGGTCCACTAACCAAATTCAAGATCCAGATTCAGCCAAAAGCAAACAAGCTTTTCTACTGCACCCACTTATATTGGAAGCAGGCCACACCCTGGGGATTTCGTCATGGGGGATTACTAGGTCTCAGAGTCTTGGCCCAGCCAAGTTGACACTGAACCTTACCTCTCACACCTGTGAACACAAAATTCGGTGTTAGCAATATGGTCATTTATACATGGAGAAAGGTACCCAGGTAGTGCCATGGTTAAGCAGTCATCTGCCAACCCAAAGGTCAGTGGTTCCAACCCACCAGCCACTCTGAGGAACAAAGATGAAGCAGTCGGCTTCTGCCAATGAGACCGCTTCGGCAGCTTTAGGGGGTAGTCCTCTATCCTGCAGGGTGGCTGTGAGTCAGAACCCACTAGACTGCATGCAGCACCGTGCCCAGAGAAGCTGAGTCGTTTCGGCCAGATGAGAAACGAAACCAAGCCTATATTTTTTCTTGCACTGCAGGTCATTTCCCGTCTCATCCCAGAATGCCTTCAGAGATGCGTGCAAAGATGGCTCCACTACCTCTTTCATACCCGGTATGTATGTGCCCCCAGCAGTTCAGCGTTCAGCCGAGCCCTGTCTACCCTGTAGTGAGCCAAAGAATGAGCGATGTCGCCATAACGCCACAGCCCCACACACCGGAGCCAAGGAGCCTGGTAGTGCAGTGGTTGAAGTCCTGGGCTGCAGACTACAGAGTTGATGGTTCAAACCCACCAGCCACTCCCTGAGACAGATGAGACTATCTGCTCCCCAAAGATGGACAGCCTCAGGAGCCCACAGGGGCAACTCTGTCCTGTAGGGCCGCAGCCAGTTGGAATGGGCTGACAGCAGTGGCTTTTTGCCTCGTTGTTTTCACGTGCTGTGTGAAATGTTTCACCTCACTTCCCGTGGGCCTCTTGCTCTTTCTCTCGAGGCCCAAAGGACGTGGCTGTTTGGCTCTGTTCCACACTCTGGCCAGCCCTGTCCCCCGGGGGTCCCCGAGAGCAAGCCACCTGCCCGCCTTCTTGCAGAAACCACACCTTCATCGTCCTGCACCTGGTCTTGCAAGGCCTGGTCTATACCGAGTACACCTGGGAAGTCTTTGGCTACTGTCAGGAGCTGGAGTTCTCCTTGCCCTGTCTTCTCCTGCCCTACCTGCTGCTGGCCACAAACCTGCTCTTCTTCGTGCTCAGCTGCGTGACCGACCCAGGTGAGTCTCACTCACACACACACACACACACACACACAC